ATATGATTTAGATAATAGTAGATGAAAGTAGGTTAATTCTATAATATCTTCTATAATAGATTTTTAGAAGCTTCATAGATGCTATCGTAATACATGGTATTTGGCTTGAAAATGCATGAAGTACCTGGCTGTGGAAGATAAAAGAAAAATTGCAACAACAAGTCCTAAAAATTCTAATAGATTCTTAACCAAATTAAAATTAAAGATTAACAAATATAATCAAATATCAATCAAATTAAATCAAAATTTCAAAAGAATTATATAAAAAGTATAAGGTATTCCTAAAAATTCTTTAAAGAATCAAAAAGAAATAATATAGAAATTTTAAAATATACTAAAATAGAAACCATAATAAAATATTAAAATAGAAATATTCGTCAAATCCTAAAAAAATCCTAAATAAATCCTAATAAAATCCTAAACATATCCTAGTAAAATCCTAATTAAATCCTAAAAAAATCCTAACCAAATTGTAATCAAATCCTAAAAAATTCCTAACCAAACCTTAAACAAATCCTAAATAATTTCTAAACAAATCCTAATCAAATTCTAAACAAATCCTAGTCAAATCCTAAACAAATCCTAGTTAAATTCTAAACAAATCCTAACCATATCCTAAATAAATCCTAAACAAATCCTAAATAAACCATAATCAAAACCTAAAAATATCTTAATTAAGTCTTATCCAAATCCTAATCAATTCCTAAACATACTTTAATCAAATCCTAAATAATCCCAAGTAATTCCTATAGTAGGTTTAAACCTCAATAACTAATGAATGAACCATTGATTTTAATTCAAATTTTTCACACCTCTTCACAATTAAATTGAAAATAAGCACAAAGTTTTTGAAGAGGATCAAACTCACCAAAAAAAAGATCATTCCTAATATTTACTTGGATGTTGGTTGGCCTCCTTCTTCAGTCTAAATGTTGAATTTTTAGTATCAATATCTCCTTATTGAACTATTTTATTGATCTCAAATTTCTAACATATGTAGGAAAATAAGTTTTTTATCTATACACATAATTTTCACTCCAATCCAATTGATAGATTGCAAGAAATCTTAGAAACCGTCACTAGACCTAAAACTCTACTTCCTGAGACCTTGACCTACTTAAACCTCAATAAACCTCGACCCAACCCTTTAATCAAGCTCAAACACACAACATATACTAAATATATATGAATCCACAAACCCTCAAAAATTCACTTATAGTTCTATTACCAAACTTACGAAATTCTCCAAAAAGTATCACCTACTTTATTTCATAAATCTAGAATCATCCAAAACAAATCCCGACTTTGCAAAGCTCTTACAAAATCATAACAAATCCAAATCACTCAAAACCAATGTTTAAAGAAAAACTATCAAGTCCACTCCTAGATTCTATTCTTTGATCTCCAAAAGAACCCTCGAATCATCGTCAAAGCTTGGTTTTGTGCCTTAGGGTCTGATTTCGACCCTGGTTCATAACTGGCTCTTTCCGGCGAACAATATCTAATTTTTTTAGATAATGATTGCTAGAATTTACTTTAAACTTCTTCCTAAAGAAAAAGGGTTAATCCACTCTTAATCAAGAAAAGACAAAGATCTAATATTATAAGTGTACTCTTATCAATCTATCAAGGATATGAACTCAAAGAAGATGCACAAACTTGGAAAATCTATGTTAAAAGAAAAGTGACAAAATAGCAATAAAATAGTATGTATATTAAAAAGAAATTATAATGGCTATTGCCAAAAGACAAGGAAACTAGAGACTCTTAAATCTAGATTAGAAGCAAGAAAAGAGTTGACAAGAGTAAAAATGGCTTCATTCTTGCTTCTATATATACTATCTAATTAGGAGCTACATGGCGATGTTCCATAGGACCTCTAATATGTGTTGACTTTACAAGACACATGCCTTATGTTATAAGGCAAGTTTTCTACGTGTATACTACATAGTTAACTTGTTCTTCAAGCTACCAACATGTGTGGTATTTAGCCATCTTATTGACTACATTTTTAATCTAAAAAAATCAATTATAAACACCTGTAAAGTCAAAGCAATGTCTATGAAGCTTCTGTAGAAGATATTATGGAATTAACCTACTTTTACCTACTATTATCTAAATCATATAGCTAATTATTAGTTTATATATGTATATCCATGACAACTAATTCAATATCCATTGATCAATCAAAATTAGCTATATACTTGGCCTTAAAAGTGTGTAGTCAATCTAGCATCTTAATCACAAAAAGATTGAATTTGTCCATTAATGCTTTATTTACCTAAGCAATTAAGTGCACCAAAGTTCTAGATTTTCATGTTTGATTTCTACATATCCTAGTCTTACTTGAATTGTACAACTTTTGGGAGTTTGTTGGATCTTCTAGCCATGAAACAATTGCAATATACTCAATTCTTCCAAATTAACTTCCTTTGCTATAATTTGCAATGCTAGGGATCTTCTAAGAGACATATAGATAAACAAAAGAATAACAAAAAAGAGTGAAAAATGATGGATGTAGAATAAAATAGTTGAAATTAAGTTGACATGTTATGTTGACTTGATATCACATGAAACTTCACCAAAACATCACTTGATACTTCAAAAAATCATTATGTGGCTTGTAGGTGTCACATATTTTTTGGAACAAATACCAAGCAATATTAAGGTTTAAATGGTGATATTTTAGGTATGAAATTTTGAGTGATTTTGAAGGTATTGAGTGGTAAAATCTAATTATTTGGTTTTATAATTTTTCCATATTTAAAATTTCTTAATAATATGAATGATATAAGTATTGACACATTGTTTGTCACTATATTATCCATGGTCATCTATTAACAAAAAATATTATTCTTAAAAATATGAAACACTAAAAATAAAATACAAGTCTATTAAATTTTCAGATTGAACTATCTAAAATTATTCTGAATTAAATTTTTTTAAAAAAAAAAAAAAAAAAAAAAAAAAAAAAAATCTATCAAATAACTATAAATTAAATTTTTATTGATATGTTTTTATTCAAAATATCAAATCTTTAAAATATAATAAAGTTTATTGAATATATTTCATATTATATTATATAATTTAGAATTATATATATATATATATATATATATATATATATATATAAATTGATTACTCCATCATCTATTTTTAATGACGCATTCTACCATTTTATTTTTATAAGAGCTAATAGTTTAAAAAGAAAAAATTTAAGCATTTCTAAAAGTTTGAAATTAAATCAAATTTTAAATAAATAAATAAATAAAACTTTATATATATATATATATATATATATATATATTATAAAATATATATATATATATATATATATTATAAAATATATATATATATATATATATATTTTTAAATTTTATTTTTAAATCCTAAACCTAGATTCTACAAAGATTAAGATATTAATACTACAATATACATCAACAAACATATCATAAACTACAAAAGAAAGAATTATAAAAATGTGGTTAAACATATTTACATTGTTAAGTTTCTTTTCAACTAGTAGTTCAAGATTGGTGTTTCTGCAGACAACAAGAATGTTATTGTGATGTTTATATAAAACATATGGATTAATTTTGAAAATTTTCTAATTTCAGTGCAAAATCAAAAACTTAACTGAATAAATTTAATTACTTTGAATTAAAAAATAAATAATTTTAAAAATATGCAAATATTATTAAAAGTTTAAAAATTTTGGTTTGAGCTCTAAACTATAAACTTGCAAATATAATCATCTAAAATAGATTCTAACTACCTAAATATCAATTCATATCACAACAAATCCAATGAAGACAATAAACACTATTGTGGTTAAAATTTCTATTATACAAGATTAATCTTATAAGAATAATAACAATAATAACACTAGTACAATTCATCCAAGAAATTAAATCAAATATAATAGATTCAATATACTATATATAAGTACAATAATTTAAACAACTTACTCATATGAAGAAAGTTTTGAGGTTCAAAGATAAGGACTTAATAATATTCAAATAATGTATTTTATAATTTTTTTTATAAAGATTGTAATGTGCCTCTATCTTCAATTTTGACACAAAATATCTATTTATTAATTAAATAAAGATACAAATATATGCATTAAAAAAATTAATTGATCTACAAAATATCTTTACAAGAAAATAATATAAAGCACAAATTTTGCAAATTTTTGAACTCTTAGAAGCAAACCACAAACAATTTAATAAATTTTTATTGTTTAAAGATACATTTGAAAAGAATTGTTGAACAAAGAAAAAATGACTTTGCAACTTATAACATATCATAAAACTATAAAAATATTTATTTTAAATAGTTGCTTCCTAAGATAAAAATTATAATGGAAACCAGAACAGTGAAAGAAATCGACTTAAAATTTTCTGATCACAAACACAATAATCAGGAAAAGCAAAATCTAAAATACATACAAAAATACTCATTGTTTGAATTGATGTTAAACTAAAATTAACATATTACTATCTGAAAAATTCTGAAATATTCATCAATCACTCATGTAACATTTATATTCATCGACAATGGCAAGAACTGAAATCACTGGTTTTCAAAAGTTCATTGTTCTGAATCCAAATATTCTGAGGTCAAGGAAATTTCCTAATTTTTTGAAAGTATCATCACATTTTGGAAAAAACCCCACAATACATGCATTCAAGTGTAATGAAAATATTGCATTTGAAAAAAATATTCTTCGTTTTAGATGTTTGTTTTGATGAAAGTACGTCAAGGCCCTTCCAAACTCAGTACAACTCAGGGCATTTCAAACATACCATTGTAACACAGTGAAGTGAGAAAAAAGCGCAAAATTTCAGATTGGTAATGTGATCTTAGGAGGAAGAGGAAAAATTGCTAGTTCTAAACCCCTCTTAGTGTGGGTGGTCGCATACAAATACATGCCTTCCACAAATAGACACGAAAAGAACGAAATGAGGACATTTTACATCTCCATTGCTTCCAATATCGATTGTGAAAAAAGAAACACTTTCAGCGGCCCACAGACCGAAGGCGAGAAAGTTTTTGTTTGATTCAGCAAACAATGCAGAGTACCGATGGGTTGTGTTTAATTTGTTGCATAAATGTACATCACTCGAACGAATAACAGAAAATCCAAACGGAAAGTCTGAAACTATCCTGAGAACTACAGTGAAGTTTCTGTCTGAAAAGAAGATTAAGCTCGCAGCTGCGAAGTCACACAGCTGTAATGCGGCACACTTAAGACCTATCATACATAAGGAGGAGAAAATGCCACAGAGCATTCAACAAGAAGAGTTGAATGTCGATTGTAACTTTCCATTTAAAAGAGTAAGCTCACGCAGAAAGCTCAGGGAGCGTTGAACGGTACTCTTCCATGTCTGCGTCGTACTTCTTCTTTAAGACTGCTGCTTTCTCATTCCAAACTTCCTTGTCTTTTTCAGAGAGTTCCTGAGTACAAAATGAGGAGATTGTAGCGATATTAGAGAGAAGTGAACGTGGATGATAGAGTAGCAATGTACTAAAACAAAAAATTGCTCTACGTACACTTTCACCAACAATGACAGAACAAATCCCACGAAGATTTCGTAAGATAGTTTCGTAAGAATATACCTTCCACTTTTGGGAAATATGGGCGTTGGTCTCTGCGAAATTCAATCCCACCTGGTTATTGCTAAGAGATTTTCGCATCTCCATGCTGCACCAACATGCCCAATGGATAAGCTTAGCACAACATAAAACATGAATTAATACGTCCGTAGACACCAGATGCCGAGTCCGCCTCATCCGACAAAATTACTTGCAATTGTACTGTTGATTTTACCTCCAGACTGTCATAGTTGTTGAGATCATATCTATCTACAACAACTTAAGAGTCTTGCATTTGGAAATGGAATCACAATAACACCGGCTACAAAGGATTGAGTACTGTGAAAAGATCACTAAGAAGTCTAAATAAAATAGTACCATCTCAAGCCAGATTCGTTTAAAGACACGGGTTTCAGGACAGTGACTCCAAAATACTTATCAATATGCAAGCATGAATGCACATTGAAAGATACTGACTACTATGACTCTTACCCAAAAATCAAATACGATGAAAGGGGTTTCTTAGGTTTGTTTGGATCCTTGGCTTTTTTCTTTTCCTTGGCCTGATCCTTCTCTGAAACCAGGTCTTTCTTTCCGAGGGCCATGTCCTTCTTTTCCTTTGCTTGATTTTTCATAATCTGCAGACAAGATCAAGACTTGTAATCTCGGTAAAACAACCTATTAACACCGAACTACGGCCGAGAGGGACCCAGATAGGTTCCTAAAGCTACTGATGATGAGAGCGCACGCGACACTGAAACGATGACGTGGTCATTAATTTGGATGATGTGACAATTTTACCTTCTTAGCCTGGTCCAACCTCTCTTTCTCCTTGTAGAGCTTCAGAGCTTGCGATTTCTCAAGCTTAGCCTTCTCCTCAGCTTCATGATTCAAAGTTGAAAGGTCCTGTAATGTGAAAAAAGAACATGATCAATGATGAGATCCAACATGCGTAGAAGGGACATTCTGTCAGGTAACCAAGCAACTGTGTGAAGTACCTCAGCTTTGTTCTTCTTGTAGGTCTCAAGTTCAACGGAATACCTCTCCTTCTCCTTGGCGGCTATCTGCGCAGATATATTGTTCAATACAAAACGAAAAATATTACGATTAGGACATCTGTAATTAAAGAACCATCCATCAATCCAATATAAATCTCAAATCAGACGAGAGATCAATTGTAATACCTCTTCAAATGGGGCTCGCTTGGCAGGACTCATGCTTTTCCATTCTTCTCCCAATATCTTGGCAATCTGCAATCTCTTAGAGAGCTGGTCACTGTAAGCATACTGTTTTTAAAATCTGGCGAAAAAAAGGGCAGATCTTGAGAGAGGACTAAGCTTCGTGGTTGATAACGAGATTGAATGTTGGCGATCTGCTAAGTAACGACGACTGACTGTAATGAGAGAAACACATTAAAATTTGTGAAAAATGACCTCTGTGACGGGCTTGTTTAACTCCAACAGAGCTGGTCGGCGAGATTGGGAGAACGCAAAGAACGCAGTAATTGGATGTTTAGGCTTTAAAGGATCTTTCTCCTTCCTGTAAATTACGTGTTGACAGTTTAAAATAATTATGTTCACCCTGGAGGAAACCGAGGGAGGCTAGAAGAGAGATGCACACGTACAGGAATCCGGATTCTACGACATCCCCAAGTCAGAAATGAGGTCACTCCACGTATTAAATGAAACAAATCATAATAAATCAACAATGAAACGGCTCCAAGTCTGACATTGTCAATTTGAATACTGTCTAGACTCCCAGACTGTGTTCCACCCAAAGAAACGGCAGAAAGAAACAGAGAGGAATGCACAGAACATACTTCTTTTTCTTTCCGTCCGCAACGTCACTCTCCATTTCCTGCCATAACAATGAGTCCAGCTTACATGCAATCCAATAAAATACACTGGGATCAAACACAATGTACTGGAAACATAAAATCCCAGGAGGCATTGACAGTTAGCATTGAATGACTCTAAAAAGATGAAACAGCCCCATCGAACTCTTGATTTACAAGGTGATAAAAATCTACGACGCAGTGCCACAGTGGATACCTTCTTGTAAGCAAGATACTGTTCCAGGAGTTCCTGAGCCAGCTTCTTATTTTCTTCCTCATGGAACAATTTCAAAGCTTCGGCCTCGCGCTTCTCCTTGCCGACCAACTTTAAGCAAAATCCACGTTCCAAGTTACGGAGAATGTAAAGATACCAAAAACGCAAACTTACAGAACCACAGAATGAATCATAACCTTTCAGTTCATCAAAAAATATGCAGCAGTCCTTAACTACTTCATGTGTGTCAGTAGGAACAATCTGGTGAACCATGAAATTGGAGTTGAAGCACTTAGGACACATGCGTATTATCAGAGGTGAGGATAAACTACAAGGACTGCACATGATTCATGATGTACAGATTCAGGCAGCGCACCTTAAGATAAACATCTTTCTCCACTTTGTATCTGTCTTCGTACGGTTTGCGATCCTCTTCCGAAACATTCTTCCACTTATCCCCCAGAATGGTACTAATCTCTGCAAACGTGGCATTCGGATTCTCTTCGCACACCTGCCATCGCCAGAGTACGGTTAGATAATCCGGTAAGCTCGGAATTTGCAAATGCCTATAGAGCTCTTACAGCCTGCAAGCCGAAACCGAACTAGTAAAATATTATGCATCACCTTCTGACGATGTACTTTGCACCAGAGAAGGAAGGCAGACTTTGGCTTTTTCAAACGATTAGGATCTTTCTTCTTCTTCTTGGTTAAGTCCTCCGGAGCATTGGGATTGGGCCTTGAAAGATTCTGCAGGAACAAGCCGGGTAACAAAAATCATGTCAAGGTCTGGACTGGTCTTGAAATTAGCTACTGAAGACTTGGAGTATTCTCAAAACGAGAAAACGAAGCTCGTTGATTAGCGTTCTTAGAACGCTGATACCGAACGTAGCCAAGGATGCAACAGTTGCTGTAGTAGGACTTACACATGGGCCTGAGACTAGAGTGGTTAATGAAATTAAGAAAATGGTTTTCAAATTTCGTTAACAACGTAAACTTCGCATGAGAAATAAACAAGTTGTTACTTACTAAAGTAGGCTGGAAGCCCTGAACTTTCTGAAGCTTTCGGAGCTTATCCTCGAGCTTCTTCTTTTCCTCACCACCGCTCTCCAGCAACTTCTGCATACGCTCGGTTTCAGCAGCCTGGGCAGTCAACTGTTCTTCCTTCTCTCTAAGCATTGCCTTGTTGTGCTCTACCTCAAGAGAAACTTGCTTCAAAGCTTTCGTCATGGCCTCGAGTTCCGCCTCGAGCGAAAGGTTACTGGTGTCCTTCAGCCCCTTCGTCTTCGCGTTACCCTTGGTTGCCGCAGGAGGAGCATTGATGTTCTCCTTCTCCGCCGCCACATCTCCTTTCGGGGCCCGTTTCCCTCTCGGCTTCGAAGCCATTTCCGAGGTTACAAGGATGAGCTGACCCCTTCCCTGCAAACTAAAGCCTCGTATTGATCTCTCCACAATTAAAATAGTGCGTAGACCAAGATATACCCGGAGTATTATTCAAAAAGAAGCATGAAAGAAGGTATGGGGAACCTGCTGCCCGTTATCTCTTTACTCGAAACATACCACACTCACAACTTTTTTTAATCCAAACACCCAACTCCCACATGACCAAACTTCTTCCCGCTATTCTTAAAAATTTGTACTGTACCCCACAATCACCATAACCCACCTTCACTCGCATCAACTAATCACCCAAGATCATTTCAGAATAGCCATCAAAACCACAGAAACTCAAATCACGTACTTGTCAAACGCAGGCCGAAACTCGACAGCACCGAAACCAGTGCGGATATTTCAACACCCCGAAAAGAAAAAGAAAAACTGCAAGCCTTGTCCAGATGTAGTGATCAGAAACCAGAGCCCCCTTAAAAAGCAAGTAGAAACAGAATCGGTCGGTGCGTCAACAGCTTTGAAGGGAACAAGATGGCAGGTGGCATACAAGGAAGCACACGAGCTGCGGGGGAGCGGTGGGATGCAAAAATGGACAATCACAGCTGCGTTCGGTCGAGTGTTAATCACGGCATCAAAGACTCGGTAGGAGTGTGACACAGCGCAATTCAAATTTCAAATTTCTGGCGGAATTTATGGCCGCCAAAGGGGCTTGCCTTCTGGTCTGTCTCTACCCCAACGTCCAAAAAGTCGGGACCCCTCCTCCCAGTTCTGGAAATCCACATAATTAGAATAACTGAGAGGCGCGCAGATCGGCATGTCAGGTAGAATGTCACGCTTCATTTCCGCGCTTGGTTTTGGCAAGTCCATGGTTCATCCCTCAACCTTTCATCATTTTCGTATTGGTGATGTGCGTTTCAATTTCCTTGTGAGACATGGTTTGATGTTCTTTCAGGTTAAAGAAACAGTATGAAAAAATAGATGTAGAGTAAAAGATAACCATAGACTCTTACCAACCACAGCGGAACTAATAACAAGTAGTTGGTGGATGCGTCACAGGCAATCTCCATTTAACATTTAGAATTTTTGTTGAGAAGAACTTAAGAATTGTGCAACATTGGGATTATCAATCTGCCCAGTTTGACTAATCCACTTTGAGCTAGTCTAAACTGGCATAGTTTTATTACGTGCATCAACTTTTAAATAGTTTCCGGTTGCACCCAGTGTCTATCGCATCCATCCAACGGGACATAGAACTCGATTTTCGAAGACTGCTGACGAATACTTAAAGTCCGCTCCCCAAGTTCTGTTTCCGGTCTAGTACCCATCAAGTAATTGAGCTTCCACACTAGCTTCGTCTGGTGCACCTCGGAAACACCAAATTGTCTGTGCATGTCCACGAACTGCGACAGGTATAGGATTGTCACGGATAAGCTGTTATGGTGAAGAATCACATAGAACGATTTTCGGATAGGCCAGTATTGGGGTTTGAGATTATGAAATGGTGTGTCCGATTACAGCTGTTGACACGCAGTCCTTTACAACAACCAACCAGAGCCCATTTTAAACTTTTGTAACATACCCGATTCCATGAAACAGAGGACGTTTTCTACAGAGGAACCTATCCTACTATTTCTAATGAACAAGACATTTGCATTGAAAGTGCGGCATGAAAATTCAAATGTACTCTAATCGAGTCGTTGCAGAACGATGTACTCTATCAAGCAAATTGAACTCTTAGAAGAATACCAGAAAGATAAATATGAAGATTAAGCAATCACCATGACATCTTTTTTCTTTTTAGTGGAACACATTGGAACAACTTGAACCTGAGCTTCTTACAACAATAGAAAACTTGATGCCGTTGTCCAGAAACAGTATGTTTAGCTCACATCAAGATGGGAAGACCGGTGAATTGGAGTCGTAGGTTGGATCCGCAACGTTTAGAAAGCTCTGGCAAGGAAACAGTAATCACGATGACATAAACGCCTGCTAAGAATTCAACGTCAATCGGCAGTATGTTATGTAGGCAAACTAGTCAACAACTTCATAGAGGGAGTAAATACTATTCAGGTTTAGTCCAAGAGTTTGGACATTTACAATGCTATCCATGCAGATGCAAAGCTCCTTTTAAAGATCTGGGTTCTAATCGTGTCCATCACCAGTTCACGCAACATCCACCCAAATCACGTGGGGTTGAATGGATGAAGTCAGCAAGTTTTGTAAGGGGATTGTCAACGTTCTTTATCTTGGATTGCTCCATTGTTGCTGGTTGCCCGTCTCAGGGGGTAGTTGTTGAAAACATTGATTATTTTTTTTTCAATTTTTTTTAATCTAGTTCCTGGATTAAATCCCTAGGCTACAAATTTTGAAAATGCGCTTGTTGCTTGTTCTCCCCATGTTGGGTGTCTGCATGATTGGACGTTTGTTGTAGCTAATCGTTTGTAAGTTTTGGGAATTGGGTATTGGTGCAGAAGGGTGAGAAATTACACAGTGTGTGCACGAGTCTGGTGCTTCGACACATTCGTTACCCACAGCAGGATTGTAGGATCGGACGACATTCATCTACTGTGACAATTTGTGGCTTCTAGCTTTTTCTAGCTTTTTCCTGTCTCATGCCGGCGCTTACGCCGATCCAGTCTGTTGTTGACGATGATGAGGACGATGGTTTTTGGAGAGAACTTGTGAGGCGCAGAAATGTCGTGGTTTAGAACGTGAATTTTCAACTCTTCGTTCAAGGCCTTGCCGGATTTTCATATTTCCTTTCACAATAAACTGCAGGTAGTTAAAATTATTCCCTTCTGTTGCAGTGTCCTTGTTCTGGTGCTCGCCATCGACGGTCACACGTGTGTAATCGGCTACATCAGCACGGATTGCGCGTGTTGAATTTGATTTGCTTTCGGGTTGTCGTAAGACCGGCGTGATGGTTAACCTTTGAGCATTAAGTCACTCTTGTTCCCAACTTCGTTATCCAATGCAAGTTCCTGCTATCCACAACATTGCCCAATGCCATCAAGTTGTTGTCCTCATGTAATTCTTTGCCACAGTTTGTTACAATTTATGGTGCTATCGTAACATGAGGAGTTGGGGAATTTGAATTGGCAGTTTTGTTGTCTTGTTCAAGACGCAGATTTAGGCTGTCAGTGAGATTGTGGGGTGCTGAAAGCTAATCGAGTTGCGGCGTGTTGGTCAGAGCGCATCTAGAGAACAACATGGCACCCACTTTGTTGGCCGACGTAGGTTTACCCTCAGCTGGCCGTGTGCTGAGCATCCAATCTCACACCGTACATGTAAGCTACATCTTAATCGCGTGATACCTTTCATGTTGCCGAATTGTTCTTGAAGGATTTCTCAATTTTATATTTTTTTGAAGCATATTGCATGGAAATCTTAGATTTTTCTCTGGTTACTACTTCGATAAATCGGCTTGTGAAGCAGATAGGAAGCACGTCAATTTGTGTTTTGGTTTCGTCATTGTTAATCTGGTTGTTCTGATCTGTCAGTTTGGAGGACCTCTGCAATAGGGGTTTATAGTCATAAATTGCGTGTAACTAATGTATCTTTTCTTGGTTGATTCTATTTTGTTTGGTTTTGGCTCTGTAATACGACATTCTATCCCAGAAACATGTGACTTTGTTGGGCGCAGGGTTATGTTGGAAATAAAGCAGCAGTTTTTCCGTTGCAAATTCTAGGGTTTGACGTGGATCCTATCAACTCTGTTCAGTTCTCCAACCACACAGGCATGTTTCCTTGTCTAAATTTTCGTAATTTCCTTCATTCTTTTGACTCTTGCCAAACCTCTTGGACTGGAACGATCAACCGGTGTCTACATTTCCAAGTTTCGTCTGTTACCTCTTCTAATGACAGGAGTCCATTCCAGCTATGGACAGTAAGCTGAGGGCATATAACTTGTACCGTACTACCTGCTAATATTTTAGTTCGTTTCAAGGAATAAATGCTCATACAGCTCTTACAAAGTAAGACTGCTCATTAAAGAAACATCATGGTGGTGTGGGGACTGATGGAGTAGCAGAGGGTGGGGAGAAAGGAGATTGCAGGTTATGCAACGGTGAAGGGGCAGGTGCTCGACGGTGAACAGTTGTGGGCGCTTATTGAAGGCCTTGAAGCTAATGATCTACTGCATTACACTCATCTTCTGACAGGTCTTGTTTTTTCCTTTACATGTCGGTTTAGTTTGATGAACCGCAGCTGGTAATGTCATCGACCGTCTTTTATTTGTGTGACAGCTACAACGAGAAGGTGATTTGCTCGTTCATTGTTATTTGGAATCATGAGTCGGTCGTTGGCAGTTCATATTGTCTCTTTTCTTGAAGCAGGGTACATAGGATCAGTCTCTTTCTTGGAAACTATATTGCGCGTTGTGGATAAGCTCCGATCTGTCAACCCAAACCTTATTTACGGTATCGTGTCTCTACTCTGCTGTATTATATCACCGAGTCCTTGTTTATTGTAGACTACAATCAAACTCCTGACTTGCAGTGAATATATTTCATTCAAACTGTCCGTTAAAAAATCACTTGTGATGAAGTTCAATTATGTCTGAATCATGTGTGTTTCTCTTTTCTCCAGTATGTGACCCTGTAATGGGCGACGATGGCAAGTTTTATGTTAAACCAGAACTTGTTCCCGTGTATCGAGAAAAGGTGCTCTCCTTTCAACCGCTTCTTTGAAGTATCTTTGCTACTTTTTATTTTGTGTCACATTCTAGTGGAATGTGTGTGATATGCTGTTTGGAACTGTATTGAGTGTTATGACTTTGATACGGTTCAGGATTTTTTTTCCTCTTCGATTTTCAAACTATAAAAATTTGATGTAAAAGAAAAAGAAAAAGAATTTGTTTGCAAATAATGAAATTCTTGAATTTTAGGTAGTTCCAGTGGCGACTATGCTCACACCTAATCATTTTGAAGCCGAACAACTCACTGGGCGCCGGTAATGTTACTTATTCCTATTTTGAAGAGGACGACCTTGTTTTCCTTCATGGTCTTGTATTATGACATGCTTAAATTGTGATTCAGTGTAAAACACTTTTGTAGTGTTTGGGAACCGCTTAGTAGTACCCACATGCGTTTTGCTTGTGTAAAGGAAATACTGAAGGTCAAAGTTGGCAGTATTGAAACAGAGGCAGATGCATTAGAAGCTTGTATTGCTCTGCATGCCGCAGGTCCTTCAAAGGTAGTGGTCTCACTCCTGCAGTTTCAAGTGTTACATCTACTGTTAATTTTAACTCACAGAATTTGTCTTGCCTGAGGCTGTATATTCTGTATGTTCCAAAACATGACAAATGTATACTCATGTTGCTCGTAATTGTTGGCATCCTTCATTCACCTTGAAATACATAGCAAATTAGCTTTGGATGTTGTGAAAAATTGGATGTTTTGTCTGCAGGTAGTAATCACAAGCTTACCAATTAATAACATGCTCACTGTCGTAGGCAGCCATGTTCAAAGCAAGGTGAGTATCATTTTCTGGGCAATATATTGGGTGTGTCGCAAGGATTAATTGAAAAGATGCAAGATGTTCTTGATTCATATTTGATGTAATTCCTTTTGCTAATGTTTTCTAGCAGCTTCTGATGATTCTCAGGAATTAGATGAAGTTTAGGAATATTTTTTACTGGCTGCTCTCTCATGAAAGTTTTGTTTCCGAAACTTTCCTTCTCAGGTCTTGTGGAATCTGCTGCATGTCTGTACGCTATATATTTCTTGTTTTAGAGGGTGGGCATTGTGTCTTTGTCATGTGAGCAATCTTTTTTGAGAATTTAGTTTGTTCAACTTTTCGTGGCGACGGGGTTGTATCATACAGGGGAAGGCACCTAAACAGTTCAAAATAATTGTACCGAAGCTGCACTCATACTTTACTGTATGTCCTCAACATGCCTTGATTTACGTCTTCACAATTTCTTTGTAATCAATTCAATCGACATATATTATTTTACGCTAGAGCAAAATTGATATAAAAAATGAACAATTTGGGGTTACAAATTTGTCATTGTGATAGTTGTGCTTAGTTTACGGTGGATCATTCTCTCATCCCTTCACCATTGTGTTGTATTGGGAAGTTTGTGCTATCTAAAGCTGCGATAGTTTTTGGCTTTGAATTATTGTTGTTTGGTCCATGCATCTATTGCTGCTACTCTTTTGTACTTTCACAATTTTTCAAAAATAATAAGGCGGATGTTTGAGTTCCACAATGTTGCTCTGAACGTTATGTGTTTTCTGTCCACGTAGATGCAAAATAGTTTTCGTATCTTCATTGTGACAAATTCTATTTTGATCGAGATACACCTCCTGATACTCTCCCTTCATGTACATTTCAAAAACAGGGCACTGGAGATTTAATGACGGCACTTCTACTGGGATGGAGCCACGTGAGTCTTGTCGTCTTATTCTCCAATTGGCGAAGAAGCTGTTGTGTTGAACTTTATTTGCTTCGCCTGAATTGTTTTCAGAAGCAGTTTTAAATTATGGGATTCGCTGTGGTATTATTATTATACCGGCTCTTGTATCCCCAAAGATTCTTAACTAGAGGTGGATGCACATGAAAATGGAATTTTGGATGATTTTTGCAGAAATTTCCTGACGATTTGGATAAAGCAGCAGAACTTGCCGTATCCAGCCTTCAGGTAGAATTTGTGGCTAAAGTAGTCCCTTATCAAAGAAGAATTTGTAATTGTCTTTGAACTTGTAACCATTTTTTAGGTGCTATTGCATGCCAGTTTTGTTCGCTTAGAATGAACTCCTCACAACTAATTCGCTTGCAGGCTGTGCTCAAGAATACAATTGCGGACTACGACAAGGCAAGGGCGCTACCAGCACCAAAAACCCATCAACTCGAGCTTCGCCTCATTCAAAGTGTCAACGAATTACGATCTCCAGAAGTAAAATTTCCCGTCGAAACTATATGATGGCGAAAGGTTTGATTTCTTATTCATTCCCTCTCTAATCTACTACCGCTATTCCCCCACACAACCTCCTTCCCAACCTATTATCTGATTATGAAGCCATGCTATTTTGCTAGTTGTTAATACCGTATTGGTAAAAGGTTGCAAGTTGCTAAGACCTTGCAGGGTGTGTGGGTTAGCGTAGCTTCATGATAGAAGATTTGAACATATCAATTATTGTTTTAGGTTGTCTGAACTCACACCCTCCATGTGAGTGGTTCTGCGTGGATCCACGAACTTAAGATAAACCTCCTGGTATCAAAGTTTTTGATGTTATCAACAGGCTTTTGGATCATCTTATTGGTGCCTAAAACATTGAGTTTCGTGCCCGTCTCTGAGATTTGATTGAATTTCTCTGGATTTTGACCTTACAGATCCAAGTCTTCCATACCAAGAGTTCTGCAAGGCTGTCAGGTGTGATGATTCGTGCCAGCCTGAGTTACAGAAACGTAAATCTAAAATCGTGAATGCTCTGCATACAGGTTCATACATCAAAGGAGTATCCCTGATATATAGGATCGTTATTTGGGTCCCTCTGTTACAATTAAGGTCGAGTCCAGAATGGCTTCTTATCGCTGACTAAGCCTGCTCCGTCTAATTTGTAAGTGCTTTGCATGCACACATTGATGAGATTCTCCCCACCCATTATCACTGTGTACCAGGATGGTACATAATTTACTGCAATCAAAACCGACTCGAGCATTGCACCTTATCGAAGTTTCTTTGTTTTGGGTGTGAAGAAGGATTGCTGTTCCAAGTAATATCTTCACCAATTTAGAGAGGGTAGTTGCATTAATTGTTGTTTTCGTTTTTTTTTACTAAATTTATTAAGACCTCATGACCAGTAGATGTATATAGTTTTGAAGATAAGGATTTAGCAATATGCGAATTTGTTTTGCAAAAGGTAAGACTATTTATTTTCCAAAGAAATCTGCTTCATCAGATTATAAGTGTCAATTGACCTTTGATTACTCTTTTCTCATTAAATCAACAAAAAGAACAAAAAAGGAAATGTTAAGTCAAAACTTTGAGTACGAACTAGACATTTTTCCTGACGAGTAAGGTAGCGTTTGTAAATAAATTAAATCTATTATCAAAATGGATTTATGCAATTACCTACTAGTTATCACGTGGTTTAGTTTTGTATATATATGCACACACACGTGTGTATGTGTCTGTCTCTTTTCTTACCGGTGCATATCATACAAAGAAGAATATGCAGTGGAAGTGTTTTTTGAGGCAAGTTGTATAATCTCAAGTATTTGAGAATATTTATTCATTCAGTAAGATAGGATCGTTTCTTCCTGTCGTCAAAATGGTTTCAGATGTTGAGATCGTTTTTTTTTAATATTTTATTTCAATATCACTTATAATACCACCATTTTATTTTTTACTTCACTTGCCATCAAAAGGGCCACGTAAGAAGGAAATTTAAAAAATCTAGATAATTCCCATTTTTCTACATCTTGTTAACTCTCATTAACAAAACTTTTTCATTCAAAAAAGTAATATTCTACTTATTCTTTCATGGCATTATTTAGTTTTTTTAATGAAATGTTATCCAAATAAATAAATCAATAAATAATAAGCAATCATGTAAAAGTGGGGAGCTCAGATGAGTACAAAGTGCAATTAATCCTAACAAATATCACACTTAGCCCTAACATATGGGTAATGACGCTGTCAATGCTGCTCTGTCGGCGTGCGTCGGTGACTGGGGGGACAAATCTAGCGCGACGCGGCTCGCGATTGCAACAAAATTACACAGCGGACGAGCTTCCCCATGCAAGTGATTGGCGTTGGTCTCAAGCATCATCTCCACACACGATCTGTGTTTGTTTGCTGTTACATTTGTCGCAGCATCGATGGTTTGGCAGCCCAAATGGGTTTGCAATGTAGCGATGGATTTTCCAAATACGGCTCACGCGAGCTCGTGTCCGCACTGCACAGTCTGAACGTTCCCGCAACACAGCAGTTGAGATGAAACGACGACGAAGCCGGGGTTCTTGTATGCTCGATGAAGTAGAAATGAATGCGGCGCATGAAGTCACCCTGCAAGTCGGAGACCGATTGAATGTTCTAGCTCTAAGAGCACATTAAATGGTTATCATACACCCAATTGTACAAAGCGCAGAAGCTGCCGATCTGCTGATAGCTTTACAAGGGATCGATGATTGGGAGTTCGAGCTGAATCGAGGTCAGACTGTTAAGATCTTTGGGTATGTAGGTTGGTGAGCTCCCAGGACGGGTCCCTCCGAGTCGGGGAAAAGCTCCTGTCCCGGGATGGCGTTGATGCTGCCGTCTTCTCCGACGACGTAGGGGTATCTCATCAAGTGCCCCTGCATGTCGACGATGGGCGCTGGCCGTGAGTATTCCTCCCAGTAGCGGCTCGCGAGCTCGTTCACTCTCTGCATACACTCCCGCGTCCATGGCTTCTGGAAGACTTCCTCCTGGTAGCCCAAGTGCTCAAACCAAGTGGATACTCGGAAGCCGTGGACTACGCCCCGAGGCACCCCGTCCGCTGCGCCGGACATCGTGTGGTGCGGCTGAAACGCTCCCATGGCCATTTCCGTGTCTCGACCTCCGTCCATGGATCGCTGGTTGATGTTCGCCGACCCGATTATCAAGTACTCGTCGTCCACTGTTCGTCAATCTTCGACGTTAGGCTTTTCTGGCATAAAACTTAATCCCCGAAAGCAGAAACAACTTGTGAAGAAATAAAAAAATGGAGCGTAATATTGCAGGGTTGTGTTATCTTACCAACCATTATCTTCGCATGGCAGTATATCATAAACCTTCGGTTCTGTTGCGATTTGTAGTAGTCAGTGCCTTCCTTCGGCGGATGTGGTGGTATGTATTCATTCGGCTTCACAGCCTCCCGGTTGCCGAGGCAGTAGAAGCTCAGGTAGCGGGTCATATCCTCATGAGCTCGATTTATATCTTGCAACGCCTTGTTAATGATTCTGTACATCATTTCTAGGGTTTTCCTATGCCACAGCATGATGTCCTGACCAGACAAGCTTGTCGGTGCACCATCGGGCCACAAAGGATTGACGACGTAGACGCTGAAGTCTTCGCCAGCGCGAATCTTGCTCGCGATTTTAAGCGCTATCTCCAGGGGTATGAGTTGCGCGCAAGATTCGTCTCGAACAGCCGGCTCCCACATGTGAGAGCTGCCCAGAAAATACTGATTCTCGATGTATAGGAATCTCTTAGCTCGCCGAATGGCTTGAATGTATGCGTCTTGGATGCTCCTCTCGGTTACATTTCCAGCTGCTTGACGCACTAGCCCCGCCTTGAAGATCTCAGTTTGAGTCTGCGGAAAATCCACTCCGGAGGTCTCGTCAAGAGAGCGGAACAGCTGCACGTTCCATGTGTCACAATCGTCCTCCGAAGTTACCGGGGTAGGAGGGCAGAAAATCTCCCGGTTCTCTATGGACACCAAAAGATGCTCCCTCATCTTACCGGCCTGCTTCAGCCACCGCTGCCGGAAATTTTCGTGAACATCCCATGCTATCTCCCCCTCAAGCCGGGAGTAGCAGTCATGCCAAGGCTCTCGAGGTCCGCCGTGAACTAGCGCAGCTCCAACGATGCTCCCCTGATGGAAATCATGCTTGAAAAGCGTGTCAAGATGCTGGAACAACGGATGCGCAGGATAACAATATCTCCCGTCGCATAAATCTATTCCCCCTTGGAAAGCAAGTACTCTGCGCGGAGCTAGATGTGGAGACGGTAAGGCGGGTGCATCCATGCACACCACCTTCTGGTGATGCGTGAAGATGAAGCCCGTGATGAGCTTAAACTCCTTCGCTTGAGGTTTACGGGGACACAACAAACAGTGCACTTTCGTATGCCGAAAGTACAGAAACGTGTCTTCGTCGTGTGAATTCATAACACCAGTCAGAAGATGGTTGTTGTTAGACTTATCGTCCCATATCAGCATCAGGACGGTGACGCCCTCGTTGGCCTTGCGCACCAGTAGCTCTCCGAAGGTCTCCCCTAAGTTTCCAGGTAAGGGCTTCCCCTCCTTGTCGCGAATGAGCGCTATGGTCGCGTTAATAGACCACCCAGCCACGTAAATAAACTTCTTGGCTTCATTCATGGCGTGATAGACAGCTTCCCAACCTTTCTCAGGAGTATAGAATTGTCCATTGTCGAGCTTGATCTTAGGGCTGAAAGTCTCGTCGATGTGTGCGTTCTGGTAGGGGATCACCTTGCAACCCTTGCGCATAGGGAAGAGCGTATGTGTAACCCCCTCAAATGCACCTCCGGCAACGCCGACGTTGTAGTATTTGTCATTGACAGCCTGTATGAAACGCAAGGTTATGTGAAACTTCGCAGTGCCCTCATGGTCGCCTGCAAGCTCAAACCATCCATCGATGGTCTTTCCTTTCAGAAGTTCCTCGGTCACGGGAATCTTGGCCGTTCCCATGTACACAGCTCCAGAGTATACAAATACGTTGATAGAGGCTACGAGGTGAGCACAGAAGACGCGGAAAGACTCCTCGAATTTGACTCTTTTCAACCTCTTGACAGCTCGAGTGCGTGCCACGCGCACTGGGGGTAGCTCAACAATGGCAATCACGCCTCCCCAGAGATCGTCAACCTTCTGCAAGATTCATTGTTTGTACCCATCCGCGGTTAGTGGCAGACTCTGTTCCCGACGGACATGGCCGAGACAGTGGAACTGACTTCAAACAGAAACACATCATCTGCAAGGATCGTGAAGATACCCGGAAAAGCTTCAAAAATCCCGACGCCACAACCTCGTTGAGAGTGATCTCTAGAATCCCGTGAAGCAGCGTCTCCGTCGGCGATTCGGCAGGAGGTATCCCTGGGGGCCCGGGGAGATGCTTACGCTTCTCCTCTAGGGATACACACGCACAGCATTTTTGGACTGTTTTGCCATAGCTATTACCCATGGCTACTCACAAATACAAAAGCCAACTACTCTGGCAGGTTGAGAGGTCGAACCAGATTACTTCGGAAAGATTGTACGCAAAATAATTCTACCACAACGGCAGATGTTCTTTAATGGCCACAATGTCCTTTTTAAGCAGCTCGCATACGCAGAATAATCCACCTTCAAAAACGAAAACACCGTTTGTATATTCCCCTACACACACTTTTCACCTGCATATTGCGACCACAACTAACTCGGATTTCTATCTCTCTCTCTAAGTTGTAAAATATGGAGCTTCAGCATCTTCATAGTCGAAAAAACAGCTTATGTCTAGGCCATTTCTAGTTATCAAGTTAGTTGCTCTCAGTAACCCCAAGTTCTCATCTTTTGCACCTCAAACCAGACGGTAGTGATTTATGTTTCAATCGAACTGCGCAGCGCCTGTACTGAAATCCCAGACTTTCTAAAGCAACCAGAAACCTCAACATTCAAACAAAGAAAGAAAATCTGAGCTCATCACCCCGCTCGCAGCTCCAAGTCTAGGTCCCAACTGAGACACTCCAGGAACTCTCCACAGCCAGTTTTCCTGCTGATCGAACAACCCGTCACCTCACCATAGACAAGACGTCCAACACAACCTGGCTAATTCTATATCGCATTGAACTCCCCGCACCATGCCGTGACACAAACCCCAGCCGTGGAGACTACCAGACACTGGGAAAACAGGCCCCACAAACTGCAAAGTAAACCAGGTCTGATCCACCTCGTCAGTGGAGACCATGTGCGGCAGACAAAAAGAAGGGTGCCATGCAGGCGCAGCTAACAACGCGACAAGTGGCGAAACTTGAGAAGGGGCAAGGAATGTGCCGGATCAAAGGTGCTCCGGAGCATCATTTATCGGCACCCACTTCTGGCGCTGACTCCGAAGTGCTCGGACCCAAGGCAAAAAAGGGTCACCACGCCACTGTTCCTCGAAACCCGCTTCCCACCTCCCTGTGCCGAAATCGAGATTTCCAGTCCAACCCCCGCCGCATCTGGTATTCACAAGGCTACGAGGTTACTCTGAGCAGGACGTACGCTTTGTTCAGTTCCTGCACCTCGAGGTTGTATCGCTTCTACATCGAAGTGGAAACAGCGTCACCAGATCATGTGGACTGCACAGAATGATCACTGAACGGAGTCGTGATGGACAGTGAGAAGCAGGTTCTACTTAGAACTCTTAACTCTACCGAGACGCGACCAAGCGACTCTTCGACGATTAAACAATGGCGGTACAAGTTTTTAGATGGATTGAATTGTGGGATTAAGCTTCGATACACATCATCTGTGCACTGCAACTGGCCTCGGGCTTGTTGAGAATGTTTAGAAAGGCACAAGAGTAATAGTAAGTCATACACACACACAAGAGTAATAGTAAGTCATACACACACACAAGAGGGTTTCTAAGGAGAGAGCTTCACACACACATCTATTCATCTCGTAGTAAGTCATACACACACAAGAGTAGTAGTAAGTCATACACACAAGAAGGTTTCTAAGGAGAGAGAGCTTCACACACACATCTATTCATCTAGTTGTGTCTCATATACAAGAAGAGAAAAGAGGAGAGGATAAACAGTACTTTTCCATTAGACTCTAAATACTGTAGCTATGGTAATTACTATAGTCTACAGTAAATATTATGAAGAGCGCCAGCTACATTTAATGATCTCAACACTCTTCTTCACTCATCATAATATTTACATAATATAAAATTTGTATAGAATTATGATCTATACTTTTCTGTGATCTTGGAAGATCAAGAATTGTTGCCTCATTAAAACCTTATCTAGGAAAACCTTATTTTATTTAAAGACAAAACCATAAATGAAGGAAAAAGAGTACAACATCATTTTCTTTAATTATTTAAAGAGCTCATTAACTTTCTTATTTAAGAAAACAAGTCACCGCATACCAATACTATAAGTGACTCGACGATGGTTGCTTAATGGGAGAGCTTTGGTAAAGAGATTAGCAAGGTTATTTGTAGATTCAATTTTCTTAATTATAAGTGCTTGATCAGTAATCAAGTCATGAATATAACTAAAATACTTTGGATCAATATGCTTTAACCTGTCATCTTTAATGAAACCAATTTGCATTTGTGTAATACAAATACTATTATCTTCATGCAAGATAGTTGGAGAATTATCATATGAAAATCCATAAGTTGTTTGAATGAATTTATCAATTGATCGCAACCAAATACATTCTCGAGATGCTTCATGTAAGGCAATAATTTCTACATGGTTGGATGAAATTGCAGTTATTGTTTGTTTCACTGATTTCCATGATATTGCAGCTCCATGTCTTAAAAATACATATCCTGTTTGAGATTTAGCTGTTGCAATATTAGATTTATATCTTGCATCACAATATCCAACCAATTTTGGATCTACGGATTTTGTGTAATATAATCCCAAGTCTTCAGTACGTTTTAAATAACGTATTAAATGTTTGATGCCATTCCAATGTCGTAGTGTTGGACGTGTACTATGTCTTACAAGAACACTAACTGCAAATGCAATATCTGGTCTTGTAGATGTAGCTAAATACAAAAGTGCTCCAACCGCTACGAGGTATGGATATTGGTTTGCCAATATTTCCTCCTCCTCCTCGTATGGGCGGTATGGATCATGACCATCACAACCACATCCAACCATTGGTGTGGACAATGGATAATCATCAATCATATTAAATCTTTGCAAGATTTGTCTAATATATGTTAGTTGGTAGAGAAAAATACTACCATCTGTAAGATGCATAATCTAAAGACCAATGCAGAAAGTTGTTTTTCCTAGCATTTTCATCTCAAATTCACGTATAAGTAGGTTTGTAGATGTAACACATGCAGATGTAGTGCCCACTATGTTAAGATCATCAACATATACAGTGATGATCACAAAACCAATTTTATCTTGTTTGATAAATAAACAAGGGATTAGTGGATCACTTATAAAATTATTTGTAATTAAATAATCTCGAAGACATTGATACCACATTTGTCCAAATTGTTTTAAACTATACAAGGCCTTACATAATGTCACGGACATAAAATACAGACTTGAAATCTAACAAGAAGTTCAAGAAGAAGTAGCAGAACTAGATTAAACAGATGAGTACAAGAACAACACCAGAAAGGTGAGCTAGAACTCCAAGAGATGTGTTGTCGAGACTGAAGAACTCTTCAACCTCGATCCTTATATATACTCCTACTTAGGAAGCTTCTCGAGCTACTTCTATTAACTAGGAAGCTTCTAGAAAGTTCTAGGGGATTCCTTTCTAGAAGCTTCTAGAAACTTCTCTTCTAGAAGGTTCCAGAGACTTCCTTTCTAGAAGCTTCTAGAAACTTCTCTCTAAAAGGTTCCAGAGGCTTCTCTTCTAGAAGGTTCCAGAGGCTTGTTTTCTAGAAGGTTCTAGAAACTTCTCTCTAGAAAGTTCTAAGGAATATGTCCCTAACATCACTCCCTCCTTTAGCTTCGAGGTCTCTGAGAAGCAATGTTGTTGATCAGTACCAACGCAAGAAAATGAAGATCTGTCGCATAACTTCTGTTATGAACTCCAACTGTTGTTCACGAGGCAAGTGGTTCATCGACCCTTGAAGCCAACGGTAGTGGCCCATGCCTTCGACTTCTGACCAAGCATGAACTTCCGTGTCCTCATTGTGAAATTATCCTGCAAACACGCCTTCTGGTTGACCATCGTAACCAGGCTTGATCTCAAATACGATCACCAGTGATCGGTTACTCGGTATCCTCCGTCGTCGTCGTGGTACATGTAGTTCTTCATCTCGAGGTCGCCTTCGTGAGCTACTCGGTTGCGATACTCTGACTGGCATAGTATCTATCTCTTGGCTATCCATATCAAAAGACCAAACTACGATCTATCTTGGAGAAAATAACTACATCAACTATGAATTTTGCTGGTGCTCTCCCCTTTTCTTATATTGTTGGGAGAACAAGCTTCAGAAAGAAGCTATCATCGAATTGATTTAGGTTTATCAGGATGTCGTTGATGAAACTCCTGTACCTTTTGTGGCGCATTTGCAAGATTTTCAGCTGGCTCCCACGTTCGCTCATTAATGTCATAGCCGCACCAATGAACAAGATATTCTAACTTTCTCCACCTTCGCCGTGAATCCAATACCTTTTCAACCTCATATTCTTCGTGGTTCTCGATTTCAATACTAGGTGGCGGATATTGCACTCTTCTAGGAAAAGATGACTCTCGATAAGGTTCCAACAGAGAAACATGAAAGACTGGATGTACCTTCATAGAAGTCGATAACTCCAGCCGGTATGCCATTGGATTAATTTGCTTCTGGATGATAAATGGTCCCAATCTTCGATAGTCCAACTTATCACATGGTCGCTTGGTCTTGATATTTCGTCGAAGAAGCCAGGCTTTGTGTCCAACTTTGAAAGTAGGTGCTGGATTTCGAAATCTATCTGCAGACGTCTTATAGGATTCTTGAGCGGATTGTAATTGAAGCTTCAACATAGTTTGAAGCTCTGATAGTTGTTTCGCAAATCCTTCAACTGCTGGATTGTTATTTATTGACGGACTCAGCAAATCAAGCTTCGGATGATACCCATAGTTGGAAAAGAATGGTGTGTATTGAGTCGATGCATGGAGGGTGTTGTTATATGCAAACTCGGCTAGCGGTAGATATGTGGTCAAATCGTCTTGCTGATAGTTGATGCTGCATCGTAAGTATTATTCTAAGACTTGATTCACCCATTCCGTTTGGCTATCAGTTTGAGGATGAAAAGCCGAAGAAAGCTTGATATCCACCTTCAGTATCTCAAAGAGAGATCTCCAAAACTTTGACACGAACTGAGTACCTCAATCCGATATGATATCATCTGGTAGTCCATGATATCGATACACATTATCGAGAAAGAGTCTTGCTGTGACTTCACTAGACGATGTCTTCTTACAAGGAACAAAGTGTGCCATCTTCGTAAGCCGATCTATCACGACAAAGATGTTGTCAAATGAGTTTGATGATGGCAAGTCCGTGATGAAGTCCATAGAAATTGAAGACCATGGTCGACGTGAACTTGGCAATGGCTGTAGAAGTCCATAAAGGCGATGCCGAGGATTCTTAGATCTTGAATAGATGTCACAAGAGAGGACAAAATCTTTCACATCCTTCCACATTTGGAGCCACCAAAAATCTCGAGAAATAAGCTCCAAGGTCTTGTTGAATCCAAAATATCCCGCAGCTAGAAAATCATGGCGAGATTGAAGAACTCGGAGTCGTGCTAGTCCTTTTGGAATGTACAATCGCTCTTCAAAGTATAAAAGATCTCCTTCCACCTTGAACTTGTCGTCATTGGTACGTTGCTTGATATCAATGGCTACTGAATCTTTAATGGTCATAGCATGTACCTGATTTAGGAAGTCAACATCAAATGATACAATAGTAGCACAAAGTTGAAATCTCTTTGGCTTCAATAACGTTGTACATTGTTGATCAAACGCTGCTTCTCCAGCCTTTGGTGCAAGATACGATCTCCTTGATAAAGCATTGGATAGTCCTTGCTGCCTTCTAGATCAATAAGTGATAACAAAATCGAATCTAGATAGCGACATATTCCACCGAGCTTGACGCGGATTTAAAACTCGAGCCGTCATGAAATACTCCAAATTCTTGTGATCCGTATATAC